CAGAGCCCCTTGCTCTTTGTAAACAGTAACACCCTTCAGCCTGTAAGGTGGCTCTCTAGCTTTGCTGGGTTTCATTACCATGAGATGGGCTGGTTGCTATCCTTTCACAACCTTAGAAGCAGCTCAGGCTAGGTGATCCCTCTGCACCGATGAAGGTACTAGGTTTCCTTTGCCTGCTATTTTCCAACTGCTCTTCACTGGGATTGTGTGCTTATGGTGACTCACCATTACATGCATAACCTAATGGAAAGGACAATACAACAGAGAAGTGTGTGTGATAAACCTTAGCAAGTGACAGGAGAGAAAAACCTGAAATTTCTAGGAAGGCGTGCTGTGACAGCATCATGAACAGATTTAGCTGATGGTCTGTACTGGCGTCTGGCCTAATGCCACCCAGTAATGGAGGTGGGTGGGAAAGTGTCTGGCAGTGTCTCAAAACACAGGATCAGTTTGGCTTTGCTCCTAAACTGTGGCCTGAAGCCTGGTTGTGAGAGGTACAAGGGTGTTTCCTCTGGGCTAGGCTGTGCAGGCTCCTGGAGTAGTTATTGGAGTAGGTTTCAGTTAACTCTGACTCTTCACAGCCATTTGGCTGTTTGCAATCAATAAATTGAATGTGGTAGTGTATGTTGTTTGGTGTTCCTGTTCACCCCATGACAGCAGAAAAATTGAGTCTCTGGTTAGCAAGTCTAAACCATCCCATACAGCAGACCTAATTTTGAATTTTAATTAAAAAAATTCCTGGGCTTATTTTGTGTCTAAGGAGTGAGGACTGTGATCCATCTTGCAATACTTCTGGCCTTTGTAGTACAAGACTGATGACTAGAGCAGAAAATAAATGAGCAAGCTCTCTTCACTGGTGAAGAGGCAAAGTTTAAATGTTTTTGTGAATGGATTAGCCGTGTATACAGAACTTCCCACTCAGCACAGCTATTTGAACAACTAGTTTCTGTCCATTCCTTCTTTGTAATCCCTGCCTGGAAATAGAATGTCCAACAGAAGTTAAAAGGTTGAGAGAATACTTCTTGAGTTGACCAAGTAGGAAAGCAAAATGAAAGGTTACCACTGAGTTCTGAGAAAAATTGATTGCAGTACTGTCATGGTTTAACCCCAGCCAGCAGCCGAGAACCACACAGCCACTCACTCACTCCCCCACCAATGGGATGGGGGAGCAAATCAGAAGAATAAAAGCTACAAAAGCTCATGGGTTGGCATAAAGACAGTTTAATAGAGAAAGCAAAAGCTGCACACACAAACAAAGCAAAAAAAGGAATTAATTCACTGCTTCCCACAGGCAGGAGGTGTTTAGCCATCTCCAGGAGAGCAGGGCCTATCATGTGTAACAGTTCCTTGGGAAGACAGATGCCATCACTCTGGATGTCCCCCCTTCCTCCTTCTTCCTCCTACCTTATATACTGAGCATGATGTCATATGGTATGGAATATCCCTTTGGTCAGTTTGGATCACCTGTCCCAGCTGTGTCTTCTCCCAATCTCCCATGCACTCCCAACTTCCTTGCCAGTGTGGCAGTACGGAAAGCAGCAAAGGCCTTGACTCTGTGTAAGCTCAGCAATAACAAAAACATCTCTGCATTATCAACTCTGTGTTCTGCACAAACCCCAAACATAGCCCTATACTAGCCCCTGTGAAGAAAGTTAACTCTACTTTAGCTCAAACCAGCACAAGTACAGAGTATTGTTTGTTCTCAGTTTACTGTAATGGCATTGGGCAGTATATTTCTCTTTCCTTACTTAATGTACATGACATTTAAAAATCTGTTTTTTCATTTCTTTGTGTATGAAAATAGCTTATAGTCTCCTTAATCAATTATTGCATGCTACTTTACACAATTATGTTGCAATGGCTAAATATGTGGAAGAAAAAGACAAATCTTGATTTGTAACTTTTGCTTCTGCAGAAAAGGAAAGAGAAATTAAAACAACTGCCTCTCAGACCAACATGGCTAGAAGTATTACAGTGTTCTCCCTCCTGACGTAATCATTGGATACCTGAAAAGTACAACAGCTTGTAGAGGATAGGAAAAAGAGATCTGTATTCAATTTTAGGAAAACTCTTCAGGCCATTACTGAAGAACAAGTTGTTAATCTTTATGTTTATAGCTGTGTATGTTGAGTACGGCTTCCTTTTTATAGTGGTGTTAAGCTCCCAGAGGCAGGATAGTTGCATTGATTCCATATTAATATATATGAAACCAATGCCATAGCAATATTCAGTTTAGAAAATTGGCTATTCTGCTGTCAAAATGCTCACTAAACATGTGAAGTGATCTTTTCCTGTGATTCTGAGTCCTTCCACCTGCCTCCTTCCTGTATGTTTCACTGTATTTTCACAGTTTCTGTAACTAGTATGTGTGAAATGAATAAAGGACATGAACATTTCAGAGAAGTACCTCTTCCTTATCCCTCATATAAAGCAGTTGAAACATTACAAGTCAAGAGTAGAAATCTTAAATATAAGAAATTGATAAATGCTGGTACTGAATACAGTTTAACAGCTGGGTTGCAAACAGTTTAGTTTTAAAAAGTATCCCTTTGTGAAACTAGGAGATTGTGGTGTAGGAGAGGTAGATGATGGTGGGCTGATGGTAGCTTTATGAAAATACCCTTTTATTTTCAAAATAAATCAGTAAATAGTATTTGAATGCAGCAGAAACTATATTTTTCCAAATCATTTAACTGTATGACAATTTATTTTGAGTTTGAGAAAAGTTCTAATATTAGAGAGGAACTAGCACAGTGGATTGTTATTCTGAAAGGCTAGGGTGTTGTGGAAATAATTGCTTTATCCTTATGTGCAACATAAGCAAAGCAAAACAAGTTCATTTTCAAGTGCTCAGGTTAGTGCTCTGTATGTTCCTTCTGCCTCTGTTCCTACTGTAGCTGACTTACTTGCCTACTGCCTCATAATTTATTTAGTTTCTTTCAAAAGTTTTATTAAATTGTAAATGATACTGATTGAAATGTGTTCTTAATTGTTTCCAGACAGGACAACAGTATAGACTCAACTTCTTGTCTGAGAGAAGACAGCAAGCTGGAAAGTCAGGAATCAAAACAAGGTATGTAGTAGAGAAAGCTGAAATTTTGTTCTCAGTGTTGATCAGTGACTAATTCCAGACAATGAATAGCTCATAGCAGTCTTCAGAAATTTCCTATAGCCTGAAGGCTGCAAATTGCTGCTCTTCAAAGTTCGATAGTCTAGCTTCTGGAACATGGCTGAAGTTCTCTCAAGGCTTGTTTGCCTCTTCGTATCTAGTTTTTCACCTGAAGAGGAACTTTGATCATTTAAGTTTCTTGATATGTAGGTGATTTCTAATACTGCTGTTACTGTTTGCTGAATTCTTTTCGAGTCAGTTTTACTTTATGTTGAGATGATCATAAGAGTCTACAGTACCCTGTTTTGGCATTCATAGATACCCATGATAGTATTTGTTTGCCAAAGGACTGCTTGTAATTTAGTAATTTTGTTCAGTCTTGATATATTATACCTTGCCTTGTTTCATTGTGCAGAGCTGAGGTCCAGTGAAGTGGTGCTTGATACCCACCACTCCTATTAACTGGCATATTTTACTTGAAGTCAGTGCCAGTGGAAGTACACACTCAAATCTTTGAATCACTGAGAATTAACTTTTTTGCCTTCTGTATTTTCACTTTTTAAATGCAAAAATGGTGGGTGAGATATTCAGAGACTTCAGTGATTGCCAGAATAGAAAATGCAAAGAGAAGTAAGTTATTGGTACACATTTGAGTACTCCCCACAAGGAAAAAGTATTTTTAACCTGCAGCAGTATTTGTTTTATTCCAATCATTCAATCAGCACTGTATAACAGCTGGCAGTATTCGTTTGGAATAAGTCCGTGAAACGTGTTTTTTTCTAAAGTAGTTAGCGAGAGGAGTTAAATGGAGAAGAGTCATCATGAAAGCATCAAAACATTCAGAAGTGAGTTGCTATGTCTTTGTGAGGAATCCTTTAAATGTTGCTTCTTGTACTATATGAAGTGACCTTAGAACTGTCAGATTTCCTGCAGCTTTCTTCCACTGCTGCTTTATCAAAAGAATGACTGTTGTAGGTGATTGCTTCCCTGTTGTTTTTTATGACTTAATCAACCAGAGTAACACGATGGCTTTGGCCTGTAACAGTGGCTCCACTCAAGATGTTAGCTTTAAAGATCTTTTGAGAATATTAATATTAATTAAAAAAATATATCTCAAGTCCTTCTGTTGTACTGCAGCCTAAGATACTGTTGTGGTTTAACCTCAGCCAGCAGCCAAGAACCACGCTGCTGCTTACACTCCCTCCTCCCTGCTCTTCCCCTCCCCAACCCGGAGGAATGGGGAGGAGAACAACTGGAGTAAAATATGTGGGTTGAGATAAGGACAGTTTAATAACAATACAGAGCAGAATGAGCTACAATGCCAATAGATAATGAAAAAAACCAAAATCAGTGATGCACAATACAATTGCTCACCACCCGCGGACCGGCGCAACCCAGAACCTCCCCCAGGATCGGCCCCTTCCTGCTTGTAACAGTGAGCATGATGTGCCATGGTGGGGAATATCCCTTTGGCTAGTTCAAGTCACCTGTCCCGGCTGTAATCCCTCCCAATTTCCTGTGTATCTTCTCACTGGCAGAGCATGAGACACAAGCAAGAAGATGTCCTTGGTTTATGATAAACACAATCCAGCAAAACCAAAACAACAATGTATTATCACTTCTGAATTCAAAACACTGCACTACACTAGCTACTGAGAAAATTAACCCCATCCTGGCTAAAACCAGGACAGATACTATGGGGTATAAAGAAAAGGAGAGAATGAGAGGATAAGCAAATGTGGATAAAATAAAATTAAAAAATGGAATTAAGTGTGCTAAAGTGAATTTCGCAACTGTAGGTGAAGGCAAAAGTAAGAGTTATAAAAATGAAAGTGGTAACAAGAAATAGTAACCGTGATCTTTATTACTGGGTAAAAATACAACTATAAGAGGGAAGTAATGCCTGTCAGCTGCTTAAACATCTATAGGCCAGTAAGCTTATATGAACACTGTATTATACAGTTTTGGAGGCACCAAATTCTGAGTAGAACCCAAGGCAGATTTGCCCAGCTTCCTCATCCATATGAATTCTGGAACTTAATACTTTGTTTCTTCTTAGTGTGACCAGTGCCAGAAGGTATCCTATGGTGGGCTGAATCCAGCCAGCAGTAGGCATGTGCCAGCCCCTCAATTACTTACTTATCCCCCAGTGGGGTAGAAGAGACAACCAACAAAGCAAAATGAAAAGAACTTACGAGTCAACATAAGGACAGTTTAATAAGTGAAGCAAAAGCTGTGTACTGAAACAGAGCAAAATTAGGGATTTATTCACAACTTCCTATCAGCAGTCAGATTTTTTAGCCACTTCCTGGAAAGCAGGGCTTCAGCATGCACAGCAGTTACTTGGGAAAACGAATGCCATATCCATAAACATCCCTCTTTCTTACTTCTTTCTAAAAGAGCACAATGTCATATGGTAGAGCATATCCCTTTGGTCAGTTTGGCTCAGCTGTCCTTGCTGTGTATCCATCCCAGCCTCTTTCAGACCCCCAGTCTACTCTTTATGGTGTCAGAATGAGAAATAGAGAAAGCCCTGAGGCTAGACAAACTAGTGTGTTGTCAACACTATTTCAGAAACAAATCCGAAAATATTATCATGCATTCTGCTGTGAAGAAGATTAATTCCATCCCAGCCAGACTCAGTACAAAGTCAGTTTACCTTTGGCGGTGAATTAGGATGAATATGCTCAGAAGTTAACTTTCAGGCTTTGATCCATTGATGAACCTATTTTTTTGATCCATGGAAATGCTGCTTGGTTAGCCAGCATATTAGGTAAATACTGTCTGATACCATGCAGCAAGACAGAATATTTTCCATTTCTTAATGATGTTGATTCCCATTGCTTCTGATCTTTCACACATGTTGTGTTTTGCCGGGAAAGTTGAAAACACAGGGTGCAAACCTGACTTGATAGTGTGGGGAATAGGTAGAACTGCATCTGAAAGATAATTAAATTATAAAGACTAATTAAATATTAATAAATCTAAACGTTATTGTCACAGTAAGAACAAGGGGAGACTACTTAGTATCAAAGAAGACTCTGGTATGTTCATGTCTTAAGAGTACTTCTTATACACACTGCTGTGAGGAGGGTTTTTTATAGTTTTGTTTATATTTTAGGTTTTCGAATTTTACTGCTTAAAAATTGTGATTTATCTCAGAAAAAACAAACACCAAAAGTTATCCATAAACTTCTTTATGACTTATCATACATTTTGCAGAGCTGGACTTGCTTTCCTGTTAGCTTTGGTTGGAACATTGGATGTGCCACATACATTACCCACATAGGGTCCCATATATGCTGTATTTACCAGTGCTATGGCCAGTTTTTGTAGTCCAGTAAACCAGTGCTGTGAGGGACTGGATTGATAATTATCTAAGATCCTAAGTCAGGATTCCTCCCCAGGTGCAAGACCCTGCACTTGCCCTTGTGAATTGCAGCTGGTTTTGCTCTGCCCATCTGTTAAACCTGTCGAGGTCCCTCTGAAGGGCAGCATGGCTGTCTGAGGAATCAGCCACTCCTTGTAGTTTTGTATCATCAGCAAACTTGCTGAGGAGGCACTCTGTCTCCTCATCCAAGTCACTGATGAATAAGTTGAAGAAAACTGAGCCCAGTATGGAACCCTGGGGGAAACCACTAGTGACAGGCCTCCAGATAGACTCTGTGCCACTGATCACAACTCTCTGGGATTTGCCACTCAGCCAGTTCTGAATACGTTTTGCTATCCACTCATCGCACCCACACTTCTTAAGTTTTCTGATGAGGATGCTGTGGGACACAGTGGAAAAACCTTGCTGAAGTCAAGGTACACAATATCTGCTGCTCTCCCCTCATCCATGCAGGCAGTTGATTTTTTGTAGAAGGCAATCAGGTTGGTCAAACACGACTTATCTTTAGTGAACACATGCTGGCTACTTCTGATCACCTTGTTGTCTTCCATGTAGGCAGACATGGCCTGCAGAGTGACACATTCCATTATCTTTCCAGGGGCTGAGGTGAGGCTGATGTCTGGTAGTTCCCTGAATCCTCCTTCTTGCCTTTTTTGAAGACTGAGGTGACATTTGCCGTCTTCCAGTCCTCAGGGCCCCGATCTCCATGTCTTTTCACAGATGATTGTGAGTGGCCTGGCTATGATGTCTGCCTTCTTTCTCAACACTTGTGGATGCATCCCATTGGGGCCCAT